TAAAGCCAATGACATGTATGCTGGCATCACAAATAAGCTAGAGTATACTTAAAAGTGTCATAAAGTTAAATCTTTAATACTAAATTTAAATTTAATTTTATAAAATTGACAACTTTATAATTGTGAGAAAATATTCTCTTGTCACACATCAGACAAGGGACCAATATCCAAGGTATATAAAACACTCTCAAAGCTCAATAACAAACCCCATTAAAAATTGGGGAAGGGCTAGAAAGACAATACAGAAGGTAAGCACTTGCCTTGCATGCAGCTGATGCTGGGTCTGTACTGGCACCATGCAGAATCCCCTGAGCACAAAGCCAGGAGTAAGCATTAAGCACTGCAGATATGGCCCAAATACATTACTCCACGGACATCATACACAATGGGAAAAGGAAATGAACAACTTCTCAAAGATAACTAACACATATAAGTAACATATAACACAAATAACTAATACATATATGAACAAAAAATCTGCATCATCACTGATTATCACGGAAATGTAAATCAAAATGACAATGAGGTATCATTTCTCACCAATGCGAATAGCTTCGTGATATATATCCAAAATACGGGAACAACTAGTGATGGCAAGGATAAGGAACAAAAGAATATCATTCACTGTTGGTAGAAGAGTTGCTTGGGATAGTCTCAGAAAATTAGAGATTTCTCAAAAAAATTAAGAATAGGATTTATCTTTTACCTTGCAATCCCACTTGAGGGCATCTACCTCCAAAACACAAAAACACTAATTTGAAAGGACATATGCCCACTTATGTTCACTGCATCAATATTTTCAATGACAATATCTGGAAACAAAAGAGAAGCCCCAAAACAGATAAATTGTTAAGGAAATTGTGGGATATATACACAACAGATGATTACTCAACTATAAGATAAAAATTATGCAATTTGATGCAATTTGAATGGAGTTGAGGAAGCAAACTGAAGTAAGAAAAAGCTAAACACAAAATGATCTTACTCATTTTGCTGATAATAAAAAAGCAACACAAAGGAGTAGACAATTTCCAATGGTAAATTGCTTGGAGAGCCCATAGAATTAAGATCTAAAGCAGGTGGAGAAGGAATCCTAGGTCAAAGGTGGAGGAATTCAGGCCATTCTGGTGGTGGACTTGATGTAGCTGCACTTAACCACATAGCAATACTATGGGGGCAGGAGCGATAGTACAGCAGGTAAGGTGTTTGCTTTGCACAAGCCCTACCTGTGTCAGTTCCCAGCACCCCATAAGGATGCCTGAGCTTCACCTTAAGTGATCCCAGAGTACAGAGCCAGAAGTAAGCCCTGAGCACAGCGAACTGTGGCTCTAAAACAAACAAACAAATAAAAAATAGCAATACAATGAACAATGCAGAAAATAATAATGATTCTATTGTTAAAAATACTTTTTTTGTAAAAAAAAGTATCAGCAATGTCTTTGTGGATTATCTCCTAAAGCAGGAGGGTGTGGTGGGGGGAGTAACATTATGTAAATGGGAATAACATTAGACCAAAAAATTTCTGCACAGGGAAACTCACCAAAACCAAAAATGTGAAGAAGAGTATATCAGCAAATGATGCATCCAAAAGGGATAGATAGGGGCTGGAGCGATAGTACAGCAGGTAGGATGGTTGCCTTGCACACGGCTGACGCAGGTTTGATTTCCAGCATCCCATATGGTCCCCCAAGCACAGCCAGGAGTAAGTCCTGAGTGCAGAGCCAGGGGGAAGCCCTGAGCATCGCCAGATGTGACCCAAAAAGCAAAAAAATAAATAAAAAGGGGGGATAGATATATAACATTTTTAACTCATGCAACTAGACATCAAACAAAACAATTATGGGGTCAGAAAGATAGTATAGCTGGTAAGCACTTGCCTTACATTATATGACCGGTTTTGATCCACCTAGAGACCACCAGGAAGGATCTCTGAGCACAGAGCCTGGAGAAAACACTGAGCACTTCCAGGTGTGGTCCCCAAAACCAATCAAATCAATTAAAAGATAGAGAATTTGAAGAAACTTCTCCAAAGAAAACAGGTACATGGATAAAGGTTATTTATTTATTTTAGGAAAATTATTTATTTTAGGGAAATCAAATCCAGATCACAATGAAATAGAAAAACAAGATGCTGGTGAGCACTCTCATATGCTGTAGTTCTGGAGGCTCACAATCACCAGTTATGCAGGGTTGGAGCAACACCCAAGCCTCTGGCCTTTGAGGTGAACTTCTGCAGGGATTGGCCAAGAGTTGCTGTCCCGGTTCCCTGTGCTTCCTGAATAGGGTTTGGGAGGCTCAAAAAACAAAACCAAAATCATTACAAGCAAACAAATAAACAAACATAAATTATAGTGTTCTGTTGAAGGAGCTGCCTTGGTAAATTAAAAGGGGAATAAATGAGGAAGAGGACTTGTACCTAGGTACAAGGAGTCCTGTGTGGAATCTCATCTTATCTCACCTGCCTCTACAGATAAGAGGTCTAGGGCTAGGTGCTTGGTTTAAAACTCTTTTGAGTGGGATATGAGATCATGCATTCAATTCAGCAGCTTCCTCATCTCTGGCAAGAAATAAGAACACCCTGGCTCTGAAACTGCACGTACTTCCTGATCTGGAAATGCCTAGTTGGGCACCTGAGTCCAGGGGGCCAGGCATACCTTACTTAACAATGTAGGTGGTATCACTATGCTGGCAGAGGTTTGTGAACAGAAGACTGAATTGGTTTAAAGTCTCTTGCCTCAAAACTGGTGGGCCAATGCCCAAAAGGGGAGAGAGAGAGATACAGAGACAGAGACAGAGCCAGAGACAGAGACAGAGACAGAGAAGAAAAGTGCCTGCCATAGAGGCAGGCAGAGACTGATGGGTAGGGGATGATAGGAGGGAACCTGAGGACACTGGTGCTGGGAAATGTACACTGGTGGAGGGATGGGTGTTGGAATACTGTATGACTGAAATCCAATCATGAATGGCTTTGTTATCGTCTATCTCACAGTGATTCAATTAAAAAAAAAACTCAACTAGTAGGCAATGATATGAGGAGAGAATAATCATAATTTAACTTGTTAAAAACGAAGACTTTATTCAAGGGAAATTGCTAGTTTGGAATTTTATAATAAAGGAAAAAATGGAGTTCATTTCTGAATGGCACTGAAGTGTGGGAATTTAAAACCAAGGAGCAGGGTGAGTTTCAGAATGGAAAATTACTGAAAGGAAATGATTGGGGAGTTAGTAGGGGAATTGTGGCTCAACTAAACTAGGAGAGTTCTTGTTAGAGGCAGTCCTGAGCAGGCTTAAGCAAATATCACCCAGAGAGGGAAGTTGGGTCACGAAGAGAGAGAAAACCCACGGAGAGTGAGGAAACCGATCAGATGCTGGAGTTGTTATTGAGGGGGAGGATTCTGCTGTTATTGAGGGGGAGGATTCTAGTTCAACCAATATAGCAAGATTCTGTTACTGGTGAGCCATGCTAGAAGTGCACAGTCCAAGTCACAGGAAGAGAAGTTGTGAAAGCCAGGTCTGAAAAAAGAGGATGGCCTCAGAATGAGAACCAGAGAACTTGCTGGGTTAATAAAAATATGAGTGAAGCATTGATCCTGGGGACAGCCATTGATCTTGGGGACAGCACATGGTCTCCCCAGTACTACCAGGGATGATCCCTGAGCACAGAACCAGAAATAAAACCCTAACACATCTGGGTGGGGCCCCCACTTCAAGACTCTCCCCCCAAAAATGAAAGAAAACGTTGCTTATCTTAGACAACATGAATTTCTACATTTGTTCAAACTCTCTGAATTGTACAATTAGAATGAGAACATAATAATTTATATGGTAATGTGACAGCTATTCAAAAACTCAGCCTGGCAAAGTGCAAATCAAAATGTTAACTATGGATTTCTGAGGTGCAAACTCACTATACTAAATTTTTTAAGTTTGAAGATTTTTCAAAGATTTAGCAAGGAAAACTAATGTAAGAATTTTTTTTTTAAATTTTATTACATTAATAGTTTCAGCTTTACTTGGGAACTAATTAGAAATAAATTTCAGGTCCTTCCCTAAAATAATTAGCTGATGCATTTTAGATGTCCAGGCGATTATTATATATGTTTACTCAAGAGACACTCAAAATATTTCTAGAGATCAAATTTCACCCGCTGGGGCCAGCAAGATAGTAGAGCAAGGTAAAGCTCTTGTCTTGCTGGTGGCCAGTCCGGCTTAAGTCCCTGGTATCATACCCAGATGGTCACTGGTACCCACCAAGAGTAATTTCTGAGTGCAGATCCAGGAATAACACTTGAGCACCACTTGCTGTATCCCCCACAACTGCCCCTCTGGGGCGGGGGGGGGGGGGGGGGGGGACACAAGATTTTTTAAGTTTTTAAAAACTTAATTCTTCAAAGGATAGTTGAGACCTAACAGCAGAAACTCGTGAGGTTCTCCACGCAGGCAGGCATTCCATGGCATACCTTCAGGCTCCTTTCGCACACCTAGAGCCAGGCTGAGCATCATCCCTTAGCGGGCAGAAAGGGGGTACTGCTGTCAGGTTGCAACTTGCACTTCTTTTCTTGTAGGCCAGAGTTTCAGCTCTTCCTGCATTTACTATAAAGTTGTGCCCTACAAAGGACAATCGAGGAGAGCCACAAAGAGTTTGTCTAAGGGCCCAGAGCCAAGCCTTTTCATCCCTCGGGCGAAAGCCCCGCGCAGCAGGCATGGGCTGGCACGGAGGCCTAGTTTGCCCGCTGGCACTGCCAAAGCAGAGCTGGGCAGGCTGCACAGGATCAGCCTCAGGGGTGGGGGCTGGGGAACTGCCTCCTGGGGGGAGGGGGAGCAGCAGGGGTGGAGACTAGCCGCGGGGGAAGGTCAGGGCGGGCGGAGCCTCTGCGGGGGGATGGGAGAAATCGCAGAGGGACGGGGCGTGGCCTCCGACAAGGGGCGTGACCGGGGCGTGGCCTGGGCGGGGAGGGGCGGGGCGGGGCTCAGCGGCCCGACCGGTGCAGGGGCCCGGCTAGCGCTGACGACCTGGGGCCGCAATCTGACCGCGCAGTTTGCGCCGCCTGCTCCCGGGGCGGGCCGGGTGTGGGGACTCCCCCCACCCCCACCCCCAGTTGATCTTTCCGATGGGGATGTGTTTTCCCTGCCCCGGGGAGTCTACGCCCCCCTCTCCGAACCTGGTGAGTAAGGCCGCATCCCCGCGTCCCCGTGCACCTGTTCCCCAGCGGGGCGCGCCGGGGAGGCCCCGAGCAGCGGGGTGCAGGGGGCCCGGACCGTTGAACTCGGGGGCACGGGACCGAACCAGCGGGTGGCGTGGGGGTGGCAAAGTCCGGTGGACCCGCGCCGGGGACTCTGGGGGTTCCTGTGCCGGGCTATTCACTTTGCTGAGCTAGAGTGGGGGCTCGAGGTGTCTCTGGGGTCTTGAACATCTGGCTGACTTGGCCACGGTCTGACTGTTTGTAGGACACAGGTGGACGCAAACGGTGCGTTTGTTGGCGAAGCAGTAGATGGAGCTCGGGTGCAAAAGAGAGAAAATTCCGGGTTCTCCTTGATCTGAAATGTTTACTGCTTTAGGAGATGTGCATTTTTTTGTGTCTGTATGAGCTGTTTAAAGAAGGTGCTTCACAAAGTCCCGAATTCTTGCACTACTTTATCGTATGAATGGCGTTGTATGAGTGACTTTTTTTTTGTATTGTAGTGTCAGGCAGCTAATATTTAAGGTATTCCTTCCTTAAGAAATATTATGTATTGTGTACAGGCTGCAGTACAATGTGTAACGTTATGTAACATGTCCTGTCGTCTTTAGCAATAATAAAAAATACAGGGTGCTCGGTTAAATTTGCACTTTCAGATAAAGAAGAAATCTATTCCAAAGATAAATGAGCTCATGCAAAATTAAGGAAATTACTTATATTAAAAAATTGTCCGGTGAAATTCAAAGTTAACTGGATGGTTTGGGCTTCGGGCCGTTTACACTTGGAGCTTTCTGGTTTTAACTGAAGCTTTATGGTCTGTCGAAAGCAGAATTTTTGACTTTCTCTTGTCTACCTAAAATTTCGTTGGAGGAAGGGAGTTTTTTTAGGGAAGTGCTCTGAAGTCTTCTGCCGTTTGATTTTTAAGTTTTAAAAAAGAGTGATGTGGGAGTTCATCATGGGAAAGTTCATCTTGTCGTCTAGCTAGTGTTGCTTTCATATGTTGCTGATTTGTTTACTTGGCGTTTATCAAAACACCAGCATTTGTTAACCCCACGACCCCACCCCCATCCCAGTGCTATCCCTTGCGCCCTCAGATAACAACCAAGCTCCCGCATGAATGCCTCTTTATCAGAGAGACTGACTATCCCACATAAAATACACCCCACACTAAAACCCCCTCCCATTTTATCCCCTACACTCTTCCCACACAACTTTTCCTGCTATCTGATCGCTGCATATGCTTGTTTATGATTAACTGTGTCCCCCACCTTAGAACAGAAATAAGATGCACGTGGGTAGAATTTACTGTTCTTGTTTTCCCAGCACCTACGGCAGTTCTGAGGCAGGATAAGGCTCTCCTGATACTTGCATGTTCTGGACTTGAAAAACAAAAGGATTGTGCAGTTCTCCAAACAGTACTACTATTGCCTTGTTATGTAAATATTCTATAATTAATACTTGGTAGCAAAGTGTAATATTTAGTTTCTAAAAATGGGAAACTAAAACTACCTCTTGTAAAATTCCCCAAATTCTTTCTTTCCTACATACTGAGAATCACTTTCTCAGCATTATCTGAAAACTACAGGGTACTTCATTTCTTCTGTAACTGGTAGTGCCAAACCATACATTTATTTAACCGGCTAAACTTCACATTTTATGTATGTATGTAGAAGATAAATTTCAGTCTGTGCTTGTTTCAAGGCATTATTAATAATCATGTTGTTAATATTGAATTAAATTGAAAATCACCCAGTAATGACTGTGAGAATGAAAGTCAGAAAAATTGAGAATTATACGTGAAGAGTTACATTCTTAGTGATACATTTTGGGTAATTCCCAAATATTTTGTACACTGTTATTATTATCTGTACACAAAGGTCTAAGTTATTTGCAATGGTATATTGTAAAATTACATTATTGTTAATCATGTATGTTATTTTTTGCACATTTCCCTTAGGAAGAAAAAAGAGCAAAACTTGCAGAGGCTGCAGAGAGAAGACAGAAGGAGGTCAGAGTAAAAATAATGTTCTACCTCAGTAGATAATTAACATTTGACTTATGCATGTATGTATGTATGTATGTATTGAGTATTGGGATATACATAGAGGTGCTCAGGGACTCTGCACTCAAGGATCACTCCTGGTGGGCTCAGGGGTCCAAATGTGGTGCTGAGGATCAAATCCTCTTGGGCCAAAGGCAAGTGCCTTACCCGCTGCACTATCCAGCCCCTTTATTTTTAATAGATTTCAATTACTAAAATTGTCTAATGCTAATGCTCTCTGATATGCTGTAAATTTATCTTTAAAGGTAACTGTTTTTCAAAATAATTTATTTAAAGTATTTTTCTTATTTAATGTGTAAAAATATTGTCATACAGATGCCTTCTATATATGAAATGCCTTTTTAAACTTGATATAACATCACCCTGCCTTATAAAAAGCAGTGTGAAATAAGTTTGGAGGGTATATTGACAAAGTTCCAAATTACCCAAAGTAGAAATTATATTTTATGTTACTTTTATATATTGTATCTAATGCTGCTTATATGTGTTAATTATTTGTTTCAGTGAATAATCTGAATACTAAATCTCCCCTTTTGGTAACGGGATACTGATTTTGATGTTTTTCTTTACCCATTAACATATTCTTTAAAGGCTGCATCTCGGGGCATCCTGGATGTTCATTCTGTGGAAGAGAAGAAAAGAAAAAGGGAAAAAATAGAAAGACAAATGGCTACAGCTGGTCCTCCATCAGAAGGTGGACTAAGAGTACGTATAAAATGAACTTTTTATTAACCTAAACCTTTAAAAACCTAAGTAGCATTCTTTTCAGTAATCTTCTTTTGAGAAAGAATATTAAAGATTTTTGAATTAATGTAAAAGGATAAGTGATATAATCTGGAAGACTCATCAGTTATTTAACCTTTGTTTGAATAGATTTTTTTTCCCAAATGCTTATCTTGTTTATAACCCTATAACTCAGTGTTTTATACTTATGTAATCTGTCCATTGGTCTTACTACATCTCACTATAAAGTTCTGTTTTTACAAGCTTTACTTTTATCTGAATGACTTGAGATTTCTGAGCTTTGTGCTTAATGTGGATGTTGATTTGAACAATAGGATGTATATAGGAGTGAAAACAACACGTACACCTCTCAGGGTAGCCGTTGAATTTGAAGCAGTGGAAATTTAATGGTGACAAATTAAACAAGGTTCCTGACTTGGGGATCTTTACAGTTTGGTAAATTCACAGAAACTTTATTTTATGGGGAAAATAATAATCAATTAAGAACTTATTCTTTGGTCTGGTCTGTTTTTAGAGAAAATATCTAACTGTGAAATTACAACATCATATTAGTGAAAATTAATGTCATTTATTTTATTCATTTGTATTTAACTTCAGTGATTTTTATGAACACTCATTTTTAGCTATTTTTGAGTTTTGCTCTCACAACTGTTTATAATTACTTACTTATGCATATATATATATATACCCCTAATTTTCCAGTTGGACAGATTGTGAATACCTTGACAGAGGTGATATGGTCCAGGGATGTCACAGATAATCCTTATTTGTGTGTGTATGTTACTTCACCTATTCTCACTTAACTATATAAACAGATAGAACAGATTGAGAATCACCACTATAGTACTTTTAATTCTAGTCCTTAAAGGCATATTGTGGAAATTGAGTCCTATGATTAAACAACAATAAAAAAAAGTTTTAAAATCATATGTAAGTATACAATATCACTTTTCAGAGATTTCACAGAAAACTACATTACATCTCTCTATTTTTTTTATCACTGCGTCACTGTCATCCTATTGTTCACTGATTTACTTGAGCGGATGCCAGTAACATCTCATTCGTCCCAGTCCAGATTTTAGCGGCCTCTCCTTACTCGTCTTTCCCAATGCTGCCATATTGGAGGCTCTTTCAGGGTCAGGGGAATGAGGCACATTATTGTTACTGTTTTGGGCATGTCTAATACACCACAGGTAGCTTGCCAGTTTCTGCTGATTTTTTAAAAATATTTTTTATATTTGAGTATATTTATATAATTTATAAATATATATTTATAGATACATAAAACTATATTTATTATATTTGAGTATATTTATATAAGTTTTATTTATATGTTTATATATTATTATGTATAATATAATAAATAATAAAATATACATTTATATATAATATATGATATATATTATATACAATATTATATATCATAATCATGTTTATATTTATTATATGAGTGCAATATATTATATGATATAATTATATATGATTATATGATGCATAATATGGTATATATTATATATTCTAAGTAAGTGGTATTTCTATTATATATTTATTATTTATATATTATATAATGCCATATAGATATATAAGTATTATATATTTTACATAATTATAATTATGTTATTATATAAGTATTATATATAATACTTTTAAAAATATTTTTATATAAAATATATTTATATAAACATATGTTAATATGTATTTATATAGTTAAGGGTCCAGAGAGTTAGTATGAAGGTTAAGGGTTAAAGCATGGTTCAATCCCCAGCATTGCCAGGAAAGATTCCTGAGATAAGAGCCAGGAGTAATGAGTAATAAACACCCCTGGATATGGTCCTAAGACAAACCAAAAAAAAAAAAAAAAGAGGCAAAAATAATAAAGGAACTTTCTAAGGTTTTAAGAAGTCTTGAATAAAAGCATATTTACTTGAATTCATCTTTTCAAAACAAATTAAAATACACATATATGTGTATATATTTATATAATTATATATATATACACACACACACACACACACACACACCCTCAGTATTTATTGAGAATACTGAAAAACACTAATCAATATTGGTAAATTTCTCTAGGCCTTTACCAATCTTGTTTCCAGAACTTGTCATTGCAAATTATTTTTTAAAAAATTTTTTGGTTTGGGGCCACACCCAGTGGTGCTTAGGGTTTACTCCTTGCTCTGCACTAGGGTATCGCTGGTCCTGGTAGGGCTCAGCAGCATGCAAGGCAAGAACTCTATTTCCTGTACTAACTCTCCAGCCCCCTGATATTGTAGGTTTAGTAGACTTGATTAAACAGAACTACACATGCAAGTTTCTCCTACCAAGCAAGAAAAAGACTTTGCTATACCATTTAAAAATTATTTCCTTAACTTTAGTATATTGAACATTTTTACATAACTTTAAACAAAATTTAAATACTTTCTTTGCATATTTGTATTCTTTCCTAGTGGACAGTTTCATGAAGCATAACCAAATTGAAGAGTCTAATGATATTAACAACTGTCTGCAATCAAGTGGGCATCTTCAATTTAGTATCTTCTCTGAATAAATGAACATTCAGATCTATGTAATTTTATTTAAGACTGTGTCCTTTGAATGCATTGTTTTTAAAATAATGAGATATTGAAAATGCATTTGATTTCAAAATTAGATGTAGTTAGGCCTTTAATTGAATACTTATTTTCCTACATTTGCTCTTCTGCAGGTAAAGGGTGATTTGCCATTTTTTAATAGCCAAAACACAGCCATATAACTATTGCTTATAAAAATTATGCACGCATCTCATATATTAAAGTTTGCAATCGTACTTTCCTTCCTCTGTATAAAATAGTTTATAGTTGTATTGCTTAGCCATATAAAACATTCGTTTTATTGTATATGACTTTGGTGTAAATTTATGGATTTGGTGCCTTGAAACTGATCATCAGGGAAAATCTTAAAAAATCATTTGAAGGGCTTATATGAAAGAACTCTAATTTTTATAATTTGCCAAGCATTGAATGTTTATAGTAAACAATGTATTTCTCCAAACTTTTTTCTATTTATATAGCTTATAAAATCTATATAGTATATTTTACATAAAGTGAAGCTTTTTCTTTTGCCTGATATATTGAATATAATACGATAGTGGTCGGAGGGAAGAAAAGTACTATTGTGTAATATCAGATTCTTCAACTCCATAAAGACATTTTTAATAATGGAATAAGTTAAACTAAGATTCTTTATGGGATTGTATGAGTGGTAACATATTTGTTCAATATCCATAAGTATCATCCTTTTCATGTATGATCATTTCTTAGATGTGAAATTGCTAAGTTAGAGTGTGTTAAAAAGAAATATGTAGGTACTGTATTGAACATGGTCTACCTTAAAAATATTATGAGGTGATTTGGTATGCTGCAGTGATATCAAATTAGATTTTTGTTTTGTTGACACTAATTTTCTAGCATTTAAATATTTTTAGATTTTTTTAAATAAGACAAGCAAATGTAGAAAATTTACTCTTTAATTATAAATTAGAATATGATGGCTAATTTTTTAGCATGACCAAAGACAGCTCTAAATTAATATCTATAGTTAACTGCCAATGGATACTGCAAATTAAATAAAGTAGATAATTTTATTTATGAAAAATTGAGCCACAATCTCACTCATGTCTCCCATAAGATATGCGTTACAAGGCAAAATATTATGTATGTCATTTTTAGGGTTTCTGTTGTAGATACTCTGTCTTCTCATTGAAAAATTTAATTTTCTTTGTGGAATTTAATGTACTCCGCATATCCAAGTAAGAGACTTAGGCAATTTTTTTCATCTTTTAGATCATTTTTAGTATTTTGCCTACAAAGGATAACGTGTTATATTTTAAAAGCAGTACTTTGACTTTATAAATATTTTTTTTCCTAATCAAAATGGCAAAAAGATTATTAATGGTTGGATGGATATAGAACCAGAGTATGTGATCCTTGAACTGTGCAAATCTTTGTTTTAATATTGAATGAGCAATTTATACTATTTCTTAAAGAATTTTTTGATATGTGTGAACAGAGGTTTAATGTGACCAGATATAAAGAGAAGTTTACATGTAAATGATGTGCTTATTTTGTCACTGAGCCATAGTTGACACAATGGCATATTGCTTTCTGAGAACCTTGGTATATGTTCCTTCAGTCTATCCTGGCTTGCCTTCATGGGCATGATCAACTTTAAAAAGAAAAACCCACAAAAAGAAAAATAAGGGTTGTGTACACTAGTGATATACAAATGTTAGAAATAGTGCTAAAAAGAAAGAAAAAGGAAATATCAGATACCAATGGAAGTCAGTGACTAGTAAATAAAATACAAATATAAATATACATACTTTCATACATACATCCCTTATAAAACTAGTTACTGCTAAAAACTTTTAACTTAGAGTCAATTTCCCATAAATCACAATTTTAATAGAAAATATTTTGATGCTTGATATGTCATATAACTCCCACTCCAAACATTACTAAAATGCAGCTGAAATAGTAAGAAACATGTGTAATTAACACATTAAGGTATAAAGTACACCTATTACTGGTTCTTCTTAGAAAACTAATGCTGTCTGGTAACAAAACTATGAATATTATCTGGACCATAGAGACAGTACAGACATCAAGGCACTTGTCTTGTACATGGCTGACTCCTGCTCCATCCCTGGCATTAATTGTGATCCTCCAGACATGATCCCTGAGATCAGAGCCAGGAGTAAGCCCTGAGCATAAATATCCCCAGGGGTTGAAACTACTACAAAGCCCCTTTATCGACTTGCAAAATATTTCTTAAACATCTATATGGGAGCCTATCATTTCACTGATTGTGTCTGGAATTTAATATTAGCCCCCACAAGACATTTTGCTATAAATTTTGTATTGCCTGAAAAGAATATAAATATATACATATATAAAAATATCTAAGAATTTTATATTCACTGCATCTTTAATACCTTGGTTTGGGATAATTAGGAAAAGCATAGTGATGCCTTTATCTCACTGGACTAATGAACTAAAAGCTGTTTGTTGTATTCATACATCTCTGAGTTATACATAGGTTTGTTTATTTTCCTGTAATTTAAAGGTGAAATGGCATTAGTCTACTGTTTCCTATAAATATAATAAAGGTTCTAGCTGTCATTCTTCATACATAGAAATAATTCACATAAACATTAAATTTTCCTTTGTTCCTACAGTGATTCAAGTTGTTTGCTTTAATTTTTTGTTTTGTTTCACTTTGTTTGGGGGCCACACCTGACTGTGCTCAGGGGTTACTCCTGGCTCCATGCTTAGGGATCACTCCTGGAGGGCTCAGCATGCCATACGGTGTGATGGGGATCAAATCCAAGTTAGCCCTTTGCAAGGCAAATGCCTTACCCCTTGACTATTGCTCTGGGCCCTTAACTTGTTTACTTTTATAGGTAAGAATTATACTCTGATCTCACAATAAAAAGTACTGTCGTTTTAGATTTGGTGAAAGTTACGACATGGCTAGTAAGAAGTAGGTAGATATACATACCTGTGCTGAGATTTAAAATCAATTTTAATATCTTCAAACAAGATAATTAGTCTCTTACTACTTAATGTGTTGATTCAAATGTGGCACTGTAACCATTTTTATATTTATTTATTTATTTATTGCTTCTTGAGTCATATCTGACAATGCATAGGGGTTACTCCTGGCTCTGCACTCAGGACTTACTCCTGGCAGTGCTTGGGGGACCATATCGGATGCTGGGGGTCGAATCCAGGTCAGCCACGTGTAAGGCAAATGCCCACCCAATGTGCTATGGCTCCAGCTCCCATTTTTATTTTCTAATGAAAAGCATGAACAGGTATTTTAAGTGAATAAAGGAAATATACTTTGAAAAAAGTTTAGTGTGGTACAGAAATGTGTGTGTCTTAGTTAACTAAAACATTTAAATTTCTTATGACAAGATTCTTCATTACCCTGATCTTTGAGGTATGCATCATCTTACAAATACTGCTTTTAAATATAATCATTATGATCAAGAAATTGAATATTCATTAGTTGTTTTATCTGGATGTAATACTTTTTATTATATCCTCAATTCCATTATTTACTTTTGTAACCTGGAATTTCTGGTTCTGCTGCTGCTTCCTGCAGTCAGCCAATTGACAGGATGACAGGTTGAGAAAGAGTTTTATTAACAACCAAATGGCAGATTGAAAGATGGTGGACTTTTTTTTTTTTTGCTTTTTGGGTCACACCTGGCGATGCACAGGGATTACTCCTGGCTCATGCACTCAGGAATTACTCCTGGTGGTGCTTGGGGGACCATATGGGATTTTGGGAACCGAACCCAGGTCGGCCACGTGCAAGGCAAACGCTGTACAGTCGCTCCGGCCCCATGGTGGTCTCTTTATGCTCTGGACAACTATCTCAGTTCTGCTGTCTCAAAAAGCAGCTTACGAAAACAAAGAACAGGGAAACCAGTGTTGATCAACAGGGCATGACACCCTCTGCTGGGCAGCAGACTAGTCACATGGCTATGTTTTGTTAGAACCTTGCCTGAATTATGTTTTCTTGCAGTCTCTGAGGCCAGGCTCATACATCTGAAAGAGAAGTTCCTGACTAGGGGGTCTCATAATTACCCCTAGTCCTTGCCTTTTTTGTTCATAGAGTTACCCTTTATACCCACTGTGCTGTTTTTCTTCTGTGGGTATATGGGAGATAGGGCAAAAGAATTAGAAGATACTTGATAGGATAATCTGCATACTCAACAGCCAGTACCTACAGCTATTAAGGTGCTTGCTGTTAAGTCTGTTTCTCAACGTCTTTCATTGCCATTTAATGTTCATAGCAACGTACTTGTCTTGAGGTTCCAGTTAATAATCTCTATTTTAAAAGCAGTTTTGAGCCATTATTTACAATTACTTAATACTTACTTATCCCAACTAATCCTCTTGTTCTCTCTAAGACTATTTCTCTGAAATCTATTTTAACATACAAGGAAGAAGTTGAATATTATCTTAAGCTTCTTACTCATTCCTAGATGATTCCCTTTTCCCATTCTACTTTTTTGTAATTATGTCTACTTTTATTTTAATGCAGTTTATAAATTATATATTTTATATACTGTGAAGTATATATTTATATATATTTTTATAAAGGTAAAGGTAAAGCCCTCCCGTTGATCGTTGATTTGCTCGAGCGGGCCCAGTAACGTCTCCATTGGAGACTTTGTTGTTACTGTGTTTGGCATATCGAATACTCTCGGTAGCTTGCCGGGCTCTCCGAGAGGGGCTGAGGAATCGAACTCGGGTCGGCCAATATATATTTTTTATAAATATATATATTTATATATATGTCTGTCTGTCACTGTCCTCCCATTGTTCATCGATTTTCTTGAGCGGGCCCAGTAACGTCTCCATTGGAGACTTTGTTGTTACTGTGTTTGGCATATCGAATACAACACGGGGAGCTTGCCAGGTTCTGCCGTACGGGAGAGATACTCTCGGTACTTGCCGGGCTCTCCGAGAAGGGCGGAGGAATCCAACTCGGGTCGGCCATGTTGTCTGCGTGTAAGGCAAACGCCCTACCTGCTGTGCTATCACTCCAGCCCATTTATATATAAAGGTAAAGGTAAAGGCCCTCCCGTTGATCGTCGATTTGCTCGAGCGGGCCCAGTAACGTCTCCATTGGAGACTTTGTTGTTACTGTGTCTGGCATATCGAATACTCTCGATAGCTTGCCGGGCTCTCCGAGAGGGGCGGAGGAATTGAACTCGGGTCGGCCATGTTGGCCGCTTGTAAGGCGAACGCCCTACCCGCTGTGCTATCGCTCCAGCTATTTTATATATTATAAAGTATAATTATATAATATATATTTTATATATTATAAAGTATATATTTATAGATAAATATATATTTTATATATTATAAAGTATATATTTATATATTATAAAGTATAATTTATAATGAACAATTTATTAAGATGTATAGAAATGCCATATGCTTATAGACATGATGGGTGTTAAATATTTCATTAGGTTAGAGTGATCATACAGCGGGTACCATACTTGCCTTGCATACAACTGATTCGGGTTTAACTACCAGCATCCCATTTGGTCCCCAGAGCACTGCCAGGAGTGCAGAGACAGGACCTGAGCACCACTGGGTGTGGCCCCCAAACTATATATAAAGAGTAGCTATGATACTACATATATATGTATATGTATATATATATATACCTATAATATCATAGTACATATAGTATCATATATATATTTTTGGGGGGGGTCACACCCGGCGATGCTCAGGGGTTACTTCTGGCTCATGCACTCAGGAGTTGCTCCTGGCGGTGCTCAGGGGACCATATGGGGTTCTGGGAATCGAACCTGTGTCGGTCATGTTGGCTGCATGCAAGGCAAACGCCCTACCTGCTGTGCTATCGCGAGCAGTCAAACATGGCCTACCCGAGTTTGATTCCTCTGCCCCTCTCGGAGAGCTTGGCAAGCTACCGAGAGTATCTCGCCTGCACAGCAGAGCCTGGCAAGCAACCCGTGATGTATTCGATATGCCAAAACACAATAACAACAAGTCTCATGATGGAGACGTTACTGGGCCCACTTGAGCAAATCGATGAATAACGGGAGGACCGTGACTGTGACTATATATATACATAGTATCATAGGAAATCGATGAACAACAGGATGACAGTGATACAGTGATTCAGTGATATATAGTAGTATCAGATATAGTAGCCATGATTACCATTTATTACTCTTTCCTAGATTATTTTCAATTTTGCACCAGAGATTTTAGTATAATACTTTCTCCAGTAGTGTTAAATACATACATATAGCGTACGTACATTACATAAAATTCAGGTTCCTATACTATAGTCCACTTGTATTTTTCAAAAGCTGTTATGGAATCATGGGACTCAATAATTAATGATTTTGAAATCCTATGATATGATTTGAGATGCTATCAATTATTTATCACATATTAGAAAGACGTCAATTGATTGAAGCTTTTTAAGCCTGTTTTGGAGATATATTTGATAATATTTCACTGTAAAAATAAAGGTGATCTCTAATAATAATTGGTAAAAATATTTTCAAATATTTGGAATACCGACAAGTCATTCCTGCAAATTCAGTATTCTGAAAAATGTATTTAAGTGGTTTTTCACATCTAGCTTGGTTTTATTATTAATTTTTAAATTAAAATTTAGGTCACATGTTTACATTAGTGTTAGCATTCATGTTTGTTTGTTTCTGGGTTTTGGACCACAACTGGATGTACTCATGACTTACTTCTGGCACTGTGGTCAGGGATTACTCCTGGAACACTTGAGGATCATATGGGGAGTCTGGGATCAAAACTGGGCTGGCTATGTGCAAGAAAATGACCTCCCCACTGTACTCCAGCCACTCATGGTTTTTATGTACAGAGTTACCATCCTTCACTAACACCAAAATGTTTAAGACCCTCCACCAATTTTACCCTCTACCAATATCCCTTCCAGTCCGCCTTCTCATTATTTGACACCCAGTCCCCTGAGTTTTTTTTTCTTTCTTTTTTTTAAAAAATTTATTTATTTATTGAATCACTGTGGGAAAAGTTACAAAGCTTTCAGGTTTAAGTCTTGGTCATGCAATTATCAAACACATTTCCCTTCACCAGTACTTATTTTTCACCAAGAAGAACCCCAATATACCACCCCCCCGCAATGCCTGTAAGGAGGATGAATTCTAGTTAACACTCTATCTACTTTGATTAGATTCATTGTTTCGACAAAAGATGCACCATTATTATGTAGAGTTTACACCCCCCAAATCAGACCTGTTGAAAAGACATTGTGAAATAATTTGTTTCTATAGCTGGTTACAAGAATCAAATGATGACTTTGGATTTCTGATATTTTACTTATTAAGCCTGGAAGTATTTCTGCCGAGAGTCAGATAATTATGAGATTAGTTTCTGTGGCTCTAGAGCCATGGCCATGCCGAAGAGCTGGTCGTGGGGGGCAACTCCTGACCTCGGTAGGGCGTGAAGGACAGCCCAGAACGCCCCCCTTCCCATGAGGTTTCAGTCGCCCCGTCGCGACCGGCTCATACCTGGCTTTCCAAAAAGCTCAGAGGCGACCGCCATCTTGCTGTCCAGAGGGAAAAAGGCAGAAGCTCCCCTGAGTTTTTTGTTTGGTATTCTTAGTTCTGTAATC